TATAAAGTAAAGTAAAGTCAAGTCAAGTTAATATATCTAAAAACATAGATCCACCACATTTTCATTGTTCTCCTGGGTCTAAAAAAGGTTAAAAAAAAAAGTCTACCAAAAGTCTACAGAGGTCTCAGAAAAGTTTACAGAGGTCTCAGAAAAGTCTACAGAGGTCTCAGAAAAGTCTTCTCAGAAAAAGGGGTGTCCCCTTAAGCGAACCGTCCTGTACACATAAAAGTGAGATTCTTTGGTTATCAAGATCTCTAATTTACACAAATGATGAAGCATCCTTCAATTTTCTCAAAAAGCATCCTTAATGTTTTGTTGTGAAGTTGATAAAATTTGTTGATAAAATTTGTATATTAGCATCTCTTTTTAATTTTCTAGCAAGGCAAATCTATTAAATCAGTACATCAATCACTATATTCCTCCCCCATTTTTCTGAAACAGTACACCAGTGTGCCTTGTTTCAGAAACATTGAAGTAAAGTTTTCCCGTTTTGGTTGTTGGTTAATAAGATTCCCGTTTTGTATTTGCCCAAACTACTGTTTATGTGTGAACCGAATCATCCTCTGTACATGATAATTTATTTATGTATTTATTTTCCAAATTAGCGCTCTATAGGAAATGTGAGATCAACCACAGTTCAGATTTTCCAGCTCATATTGCAGACCAACATTTGTTACCCAAAAAGAATACAAACAACACTTTTTCATTCTTGTCCCTGAGTCCTTAGACTAATCTGTAAAGACAAAGTGAACCCAATGGAAAAGCCAATAATTTGTTCAGGGGTAACCTTATTCATTTTTGATATAAGATTGTAAAATTATAAATCTCTTCTTTTTGTCTAAAAGCCATTGAACTAGGCAGGTGTCCCAAGTGACCACAATACTACTTTTCAAAATCAAAATTTTGCTGTAATGTTTGAAAAGTGTGTCTATGTGGGTGCATTTATGTCAGAGCGACATGCAGCATCTATCCTGGATCCGGAGTGAACGCACCACCGTACATCACATGCAAAAGTCGACACTCAAATCCAGACGTATAGTGACAGCCCGCTTCAGGTTCTCTCCAGTGTGACTTTGGAGATACTGCAAGTTCAGAGTTCAAGAGTTCATCATGATGTTAGTCCAGCTCCTCCTCCTGGACAAAAGTGCATGTCCACAGAGATCAGCATTTTGTTTCAGTTCAAGTCCATGTGCTCCAGACTTAGATTTTTGTTGTTGTTGTTTGGTAGCAGAACAGGATGTGGTCTCATAAAGTCACAAGTTCTTGTCAGCCTAGTTTTTCATCAACCCTGCACATGTGATACACTACTGGGCATTTCAGAACCAGTCCAAGATGTCAAACTGCAACTTGCATGTGGGTTTTCAGCAACCTATATGAACAATTGTGCATTGTGTCATCAGAACATCCCTCCTGGTTCAAGAACTCACTCAGTTCAACTTTTTCTTAATTTAAGATTAGCTTAAAAATAAAGTAATCCAATTAAATCCTGATATTATTCTTAATTAATTTATTTATAGCTCTAAACCAAACAAAAGTTGTCTCAGGGCACTTAACCAAAACAGTCTTAAATAGCAAAATCAACTATCCAAATAACAAATCCAATTGTAAAGTTCTCCATCTCAAGTTACACATAGACAAATAAAGCTCAGATTGAGCTCTCCGATAGCCATTTCCATCTCTTGAAAATCTATCTGCCTCTACCTCCAGCGGTGTCATAACTGCACTCTGACCAACACAAGGGTCTCAATCAGCACCTCATAGTGAAAGCCAAAAAACACCATCAACACTAAACTCAGACTCTAAGGCAAAACTTCCTACACCACACATGTCAAACTCAAAGGTCGTGAGAGCTTAAACGGTCTGAATTGTCCTACAGTAAATGAAATGAGAACACAATCTATTAGTGTATTATCCATATTTAATTCCTTAATAGTGCTAAGTCTGCTAAAATGTACATTGTTAGGTCTGCTTAAAATGAGCCGTCAACTCCTAATGTGGCTATCTCAGATTTAATTATATTATGTTAAATTTGCACCTAATTTATAGATTTAATAAGCCGTTAGTAGTTAATTTTTACACACCCAATTTGAACAAATGCTCCTTTTGTGGGTCGTTCGAAATTCCATTCAACTGCTGTTATAAATCTCTTAGTGCCTTTTAAGTGGTTTTTTTTTTTTTTATCAAATCTTTAAATTAAAAGTGAAGTCTTAGCCAAGCAGTAACAGACGTAACGGACGTCTGTTTAAACCCAAATGTTAACTTTTGGCCTGCAGTGATCATGCCAGGACGTTAGTTGGCGCTGTGGTCCTGTATCTCCGGTTACGCATGCGCACTACCGCGAGTTGCACTTCCTGTGTAGCTAACGTTTAGCTAACCAGTCGTTGAAGGTGATGACAAGGGCGGATGCGGTTTGTTGGTTTTATGGAGAGAAAGCGACGGTTTGTGACTGCGAACGGACCGTTTATCCACTCAAATTCAACTCGGTCGACTGGTGGACCCGAAAACAAACCGTAGATGTTTGGACTTTAACAACTTCGTAGCGGATTTATCGCAGGTACAGTAGTACTCGGCCTTTACTTTTAAGCAATACTCAATTTGAATTTATTAACGCATATATATATATATATATTTTTTTTTTTTTCTCCTTTTTTATGTTTCGTGACACACATTTGGTGTGGTTCTGGTCCATTCGGTTCTGGTCGAGTCGGAGTGGCGGATGGGGCTGCTGCGAACCAACGGGCCGAATCCGGTTTCAGCAAATCTTCGCCTCAATGAGTGGGTTCTAATGTAATTATCAGTGTCTTTGGGGTTAGTGTTGTTTAATAAAACCAGAAAAAGATAAGTGTATCCATTTCAGTTATTTTTTATTAAGTGTGGTTTGGTTTCAAAAGTCAGAGATATTCTCTTGACCTGAAGTGAATTTAAACAGTTTAAAGGGACATTTCAGAATTTTTTATAAATTGGGTTTTGGTACAAGATTATAAACAGTAGCCATCTTACCCGATGTAGATGGCTTATAAAACCAATGTCAATTTCTATTTTTCAACATCATGCAGTATATATATATATATATATATATATACATATATATATTTAAAAACAAGTTATCTGAATGTAGATTAAGAGTGTCATACTTCTTAAAACTTTAGTGCCACATGACGTTCGCGAGCGTGTGTGTTTGTGCGTGTGTGGTTATCACACAGGAGGGAGTTCATGCGTGTGTTTGGTCTCCCAAACTGAGAGCCGGCAACACCACAGATAACAGAAAAAGTCAGCCATAGGCTTGAAGGACATTATAGAATTAAAAAAAAAACATAGTGTTCAGTTATCTGTAAACTTATATTACTCAATAAGCTTTACCAGGCAAAGTAGACAAGGTATTTTAGCGTTTTTTCTTATGCAGTTAGTGGGTGTTATCTTTTTTCTGACAAACAAAGCTGCAGTCTTTGTTCCCCAGATGAAAAAGATTCACTTAACCCAAACTCAGTTAAAAAATAAAAAAGTTGTGAGCAAATCTGCTTCGGGTCCCGTCTGTTGGTACAGGCAAGGATCCTCCACAGGATAAGTCATTTTAAACATACACACAGACAGACAGTCGCACATAGACAGACAGGAGTTTTGCACGTGTCTCACAATTTTTTCTGAATAAATGCTGACTTATGAGTCCCTGCATATCCAATTGTATTTGCTTGACTCTGTCCCACACTATTTTCGTGAGTGGCTGTCTGGAATTCTCGTCTTTGTTGACCAGCTGCGTCAACATTTCATCTAGTTCTCTCCTTCTTGCTCCGTCTCTCGCATAAACTCGGTTGCTTACCGCTACCACCCGATTTGATTGTTTTTTCACGGTTTTATATATCATATTACTCTGCTCGAGGGGCTCCATCTCTCATTCAGCATATACCACTCATACGGCCCTCAAACTTTATTTTGTAATCCTTTCACTCCACGAGCTGCTGACCGCGCGTTGTTTGGAGCACACACAAGCCTCGATCCAAAACAGTGTCAGCTTTTTTGTTGCACCGATCAAAACACTGATCAGCCACCTCCACCCGAGGTGTCTTTGCTCGTTTATTCACACACACACAGACCCACACACACACGCACGCACGCACGCTCGCACGCACACACACACACACACACACACACACACACAGATGAGTCTGTGCATCTGCCCTCTGTTTCCTTCCTTCCAAACAACACTATTTATTTTCTTCACTCCTTTTTATGCATTTTAATTGTTTAAATTTTTTCCATCGCCTCGTGTGCGGCATTTTTCATTTTGAGTTTTTTTTTTTCATCGTCTCGTGTATGGCATTTTTCATTTTGAGTTTTTTTTTTCATCGTCTCGTGTACGGCATTTTTCATTTTGAATTTTTATTTATTTTTTTTTAGCGTGATTTCTCCTTTTATAAATTTTTTCCACGCCTTTTCCACGGTCC